ACATTCTCCCTCATTTTCTGAAGATGGCTTTGGGGACAGATGTTCGAGAGAGTTATATATAACGTATCTTCATGTTTTATAAATTTAATACAAGAATCTCATTTTTCCACCTCCATATGGACTAAATCAAAAGTCCTCAGTAAGTGTACAAAGAAGTCATATGCTTTGGGATTTTTATCCTTTCACCACTGCGCCTTCCAATAAACTTTTCATGCTAGCTAAAAAAACATCAAGTTAGATTACTATTTTCATGACTATGTATAATTCTATACATATATTCATTTCTTTAAAGAATTTTTAAGACTGCTATATATCTACTAACATTACTCCTTTTAAAAAACTCAACATCAAGAAACTTCTATTAAATAAAATATCAATTTTCATTTAAGTATCACATTCATAAAAACATGTATAAGATTAATATTTGGTTGTAGAATATTGTGCTTTCAAAAGCTAACATTCTGAACACTACGCAGGCTTCCTCCCCAATGTGGGCAGGAATGATTTCTGGTCAGGTACTTGAACACACAGCCACAGTGGGCAAAGGGTCCCTTTGAGCACCACACTGTCAGCAGACAAATGCAGATTCGAGTCTCCTCTTCCACAAAACAGCACCATCAGAAAGCTTTCCTTATTTGCCTCTTGGCTATCCTCTCCGCTGCTTTCTCCTTCCTGAGTGCCACCTCCTGTCCACAGGATCAGGCCAGGCAGTATATACTTGCTTTCTAACTGCTCCTTGCAAATGCAAATAAGGACCTGCTATCAGCTCTTTATATTTCCACGTATTTACTCTCTTGCATTTGTCCGCATTTAAAACCCTTCCTTTCTTACTGTGGAATAAAAGGACTGCCTTTTGTTACAGGAAGGGAAGGCAAGGAAGATTACGAAGAAGGTAAGAGAGACTTCTCTGTGTGTGACACAGTCACAGAGCTAGCCTGAGGAGAAAATTTCTAGTCTTTTTTTTTTCATTTTTTTGGACTCAGGGGCAAGAGACAAAAGAGATTGTGGCTGGCACTATCATTTTTTCCTTTATCGTTTTAACCCCCAGACTTGTAGACGTCAAGAATTAGAACCGCTTTATGTGCCTTTAGCCTGGATATCCACTCCTTCCCCTTTATCATCATAATCACACAGCCTCGGAGTTTCAGCTGCTTCAAGGGGCTCCAAAGTCTCTCACACAACCAGGCAGCAGAGGCAGCTGCTCAAGGAAAAGACTGGGAGACAGCTGGCAGGATGGTCTTTCCCAACCACATATGATTACATGAAAACCTACACTTATTGTGCCTGCGAGGTCAGTTTTGTGCCCTGTCAACATGCTATTAAAGTGACGTAGTACTAATGCCATTCCTTCTGGGGATAAGATGCTGGGAGAGAGAAGAGCCTGGCTGTCGGGGTACAGAAAGGCGTCTGTGCAAGTTTACATAAACGCATGACCTACGTGATGACGAGGGAGATGCTGTATGATGCTGAGGGCAACGTACTAAATGGAGAAAAAACTAAACTAAAACTAAAACCACGTTTGGTTATGTAAAAGCAATACCAATCAAAATAAATAATGTGATTTGCTTTACATTTATGGCTAGTTACCATGCAGCACAATAATGATTATATGATTATTTTTGTCAGATTGATTTTGCTATAAATTTAACCACAGATATCAAATCTAAACACTCAGGCCCAGTAATTTACTGTTTTTAAACAGTTATTTACTGAGCCCCTTCTATATGCTGGACACCAAATTATGTATTGGGAACAAAAATAATAAGACTGAAAGTTGCTAAAAGAGTAGATCTTAAAAGTCCTCATCACAAGAAAAAAATTTTGTGAAAAAAAAAACACAGTAAGACAATCCCTGCTCGCAGGGGGCTTACAGTCTTGTTGGGGGGAGACGGTATGAGGCAAATGTGAAGCAGAGAACTGACAAGCAATCTATTTTTAAATGAAAGCAAGGCCACGAGGGGAGCAGGGAGTCAGGTAAGGCTTCAATAAGGAGACATCACAGCTGACTCCTGAAGAACCAGCAGTTACCTGTCCTTCCCCAGAGGAGGACGAGTTAGAAGAACTCTTAAGCATAAGGAACAGGGAATGCACTGAGCTCAGGAGTGAAGCACCGTGTGGAAATCTGAGGAACTAATGCAGGAGTGGTCCTGACACTAAGGCGAGTGAAGTAGGGAGGAACCAGACCAAAGGAGGACTCGAACATCACACAGGGAGTCTGAAATCTCAATGGTAACAGGGAACCACTGCAGGATTTCAAACAGAACGACATGATCAGATCCACATTTCACATCAAATTTGGTTTCCCATAGAGAGTGAAGTGGGGATCTAAACCGGAGACAGGCAGGGCAGTTAGGAGCCCGGTGCAATGATTCAGGTGACGCGTTGGTGGCTTAGATTAGGCTATTAAGGATGGAGAGAATGGGACGGACTTGAGAAACAGGTAACAGGTACAACTGAAGTGTCTCAGCGACTGATGGGATACAGGAAAAAGGGGGGTCGGAGATGGACTTCGACGTAGGCAAACGCATGGTGGCACGGCAATTACTGAGCTGGAGAAGAGATGCAAAGAGGCAGGTTGGCGGGTTTCTGTCTTGATTTTCTGTTTTGCTGATTTCTGGGGGGGGACAGGAGAGCATTAGAAATTGAGTTCCCTCGTGACAAACTGAGTTTTACATATATGAGGGGCTTCCAAACGGAGATCCCTGATAGGTAATGGAAGATATATGTCTGAGGCTAAGGAGCAAGATCTGAACTTTGACATGTATTTGGGAGATGGCATCTTCTATTAGTTGAAGCCATCAGATAAGAGGCGAGGAGGGCCAACATCAGCAGCGTAAGGAACCCCAAGATTTATGGGACAGGCTGATCAAGAAGAAATTAAGAAAACAGGTAGGAAGAAAACCAGGAAAGCATATGATCACAGAAATCAAGGGAAGAGAATATTTTAAGACGGAGCAAACAGTCAACAAAGTCAAATGCAACAGTGCAGACCGGTGCAGCCATTTAGAGGACAATTCAGTCTAATCAAGAAAAACGTCAGTATGTGTGTCCAATGAGACAAATCAAAGAATAGTTTGTAAAAGTAAAAAAAAGAAATAATGTAAATATCCAAAAAAAGAGGATTAAATAGAATATGATAAACCTACAGTACTGAATATTTCACAGAACTTGAAGAAAACAAACAGTAGGTCTACAAGGAAAAGACTTTAAGAAATATTAAGTACAGTGCCAGCCCCAGTGGCCTCGTGGTTAAGTTCGACGTGCTCTGCTTCAGCGGCCCAGGTTCGGTTCCCCGGCGAGGACCTACACCACTCGTCAATCAATGGCCATGCTCTGGTGCAGCTCACATACAAAACAGAGGAAGACTGGCAGCAGATGTTAGTTCAGGGCAAATCTTCCTCAGCAAAAAAAAAAAAAAAAGACATATGAAGTACAAAAAAGAGCAAGTTACAGAGCAATATATACACAGTGATAGCAGTTATTTTGAATGTATTTCTTTATGTATATATAGTTGTAAGAAAAGCTATAGAAAAAGTTGGGAAGAATATATACCCACTTAAGTCCAAGAGTTGACTTTGTGAAGAAAGCTGGCCTTCGGGTGGGTCTGTGGCCAAGGGGGCCTTCTGCATTTGTATTATTTGAATTTTTTACAATGAAAATGTTTCCATGTAATAGTTGTATAATAAAGTATATTTTCAAAATACTATTAATTTAGTATTTATCAATTTACTATCAATTTAGTAACTTTAATAAGCACAGGTTTGGAAGAGTAAAGGGAACAGAAGACGATTACAACGAATTGAGACAAACGGGAAGAAAAGTAGCACATGGAATGTAAAACACGGGAAGCCTGTATGAATAGGAAGAAAAAGAAGTGAACAGAGGCTTCCTAGGAGAGCAGCCTGGCTGCTTACAGTCTAGAAGACACTGCAGTCACAGTGCTACGCCCTCCTAAGATGCAGCATCTACTCTAAGGCGGGAGGTGTGGGAACAGCGAGGCTCGGGGCAGGAATAACTGACTAAGGAGCCAGAGTGAGAAAGCTCAGGCAAGAAACCAGACAGCGCTGGCTCAGCCAGGATCCCAAGCCAACAGCCCAGGAGGCAGGAGGGAGGGTGGCACAGAATTCTCAACTACCCCAGGGTGGCAGCAGATGAAAGGCCCACTGGGAGGTGCGACCTCGCATCGCCGTGCTGAGCTGATACATGACCTGGAACAAGGACGAGACTACATACCAGGACGGTTGTGGGACGCAGGCGACAGCATACACTCGCTGTGCACAGAGGCGAAGTAAAGAACGGACTCGGCAGGGCATAAACCGCCGCATGCTCTCGCTCCACATATAAGCAGCAGCGAGAGATAAGGTATCCTTGGACTAGACTTGAAACAGCTCAGAGAATTTCTGTTCAGCAATGAACAACAGGAATTACTCAGGAGGAGGATACAAGTAGAAATCTCTTTTGAAACCAGGACAGGATGTCCCAAAATGCCTCTGTTCTGAAGGAAAACAAGTATCTCTCGTGGTCACGCTCTTCTGGAAAATTCTTAGAGGGGAGATAAGGGCTAACGGCAAACTACGACTTCCCAGGAGGCTGGCTTGTCCAGAGCAATGTCCATTATGAAAAAATGCATCCTGGTCCAAAGCTGCTCTTACATGGGCTGCTCAAACTCGGGTGAAAGAACAGGTGAGGACCCAGGCCTGGGATGGTCCCGAGAACCAAACAACTTCAAACCACTGTGAGGTCCTTCGTGCCCTTTACAGGACAACGCACAGCGAAACTACATTTCAGTCAGGGGCGGGGGTGGGGGGCAGTTGGGACATGACAGCATGAGAGCTGAAAGGGAAAAGACTGAGAATTTTCTGGGTGCAGTCTTTGGAAGAATAATGACTGACACCAACACAGGAAACCGCCCATCTGGGGGTTTCCCCGTGTCATGCTTTGTCACGCCTATTTAAATCACATCAGAAACCAAAGTAAACTTCTGTATTAAGAGCCCTCACCTCAAGAGTTCTATCTGTAGAACAGGCAGATTCCTCCTTTGGCTTATCCTGCAGGCTGCCTTCTGAGATTCAGAAGAGAACAACCAACTTCGATCATTTGAACATGGAGCATCCACTAACACCTGAGAAAAAAGACACATAATGCAAATATGCACTGGAAACAGATTCTCAGACACCAAGTATGTAGGGAAACTATGTAAAACCACAACAAAAAATAGCAAATAACCGAAAATACACCATGGTAAATTCTTCTATCTGACATTTCTTCACTAACATTGTTCAGAAAAGCTTCCTGTGCACTGTCAGTAGTGGGGTTTTTGGGGGGATGGCAAATGGCAGGACTGAAAGTCTACTAAGTCTACTAACATTTCATATTCTTGACAACTACAGCAACACTTGTACAAAAGTTACTCATTTTAAACAGACATTACTATATTTCTGAACTCTCAGCAGTTTTTTTTAAGAATATTTCAATCTCGGTTTACTGACATGCTCTCTCTTTACCGGTCACATTCTGATACGAAATGCTACCAGATTAAAGAATACAGTGCACACGTTTGTGTACTGACCCAAATCATGTCTGATCTTTTCCTGAGTTACCTATGAGGTACCTAGAAATAAAAAACATTCTATAACCCCCAACCCCAATGTGACCGCCTTCTCTGAACCACGCTGACCATCAGATGAAAACTGCTTCCATGCTCACGTTCTCACAACCCCCAGGGGGCTGAGAAGTGGTATCAGGCTACGTCTGGAGGCAGATGGAAAAGGACGACAGAGCAACCTCTCAGTGGCATTACCGGGAGCCGTCGGCATGTCCCAACGTAATGAAAGTACCTTGTCAAAAGTTTCAGGCTGGGCGTCTCCCACTTCTCTGCCATCCAACTCAGACACTTTAATTACATTCACCAGAGGCTGCGGGATGAAAGACTCCAACGTCTGCCTCAGCCACCTCAATCTCAGCCCATCGTATTCATTGCAATGAAGATAACCTAGATAAAAAAGATTAAAAAGTTTTAAAGTGAATGCAATGAAATAGTTAAATTTCCACTTTTCATTAAATAAATTTCAGAAAGAAATCAGCTCATGATAATTATGCAGAAATAGGGCTCACAGGTAAACATTACAATTATCTTATGCTTTAAAAACAGAAATACACACACACACACAACATAAAACATCTACAATAGTCACGCCTGCACAGCCTCTCAGAAGCTCTCAGCCTCTACTCATTCAAATTAAATTTGGAGGTGAAAACCTTTAGAGAATTACAGATTCCTAAAGACATGCCATACAACCAATACCTCAGACACAGTTCTCCCCTAAATCTCTTAAGAGTAAATGATATATTCAATCAAATATAAAGCTCCTTCCAGGACAGAACACCATCATTTTAAATAAAGGAAGGTGTGTGGTATGTGGAAAAAAGCATGTCAAGTGCTACTGGCTCTAAGGCAAGAAAGGCACAGCTCTAATTATGAGCTGTGAGACTTGGGGAAGTTACTGAGCTCTCCTCAGGAGTCTCGGTTTCCTTGTGTGTAAAACAGGGATTGTACCTAGTGAAGGGGGTCAGGGCACACCACTCCAAAATATGCTGCTTTGGCACATTGATTATTTTGAGTTAAAGGCACTTGAATAACAGCAGACGTAGGAAGGGCATTTTGACCTTCCCTTCTCCTCCGGAAAGCAGGAGATGAACTCCCGTGCAAAAGCTACTCTCCCCATTCGAGAGGAAAGAAATAATCTGACCACTAGAGATGGGGAGTCAAGGCCAAGAGAAATCTGTACAAACAGACCTTGTTAAAAATAACTCTTCCTTTCTTCTTCCACATATTTTAGTTCCTTGTCCACAACTGGCACTTTGTTCAACCCAGTATATAAGCACTTAGGCCTAGACACTTCTTTGGGTCTTAATTTTCCTGAGGTGACTTCCACGTACACGTAAAATTTTGTTAAATAAAATTTGTATGCTTTACTCCTGTTATTCTGTTTTATGTCAGTCCCAGCTGGAAACCCTAAGACAGAGGAGAAATTTTACCTCCCCTACACTAGCTACCTTACAAAGTGGTTGCTAAGATTAAATGTGAGCCTTTAGTAACATATCTAACATAGTACAGCAAAAGCAGTACTAACAAATGTTTATAATAATTACTAACAATTCTTGAGTCCTTATTATATGCCAGACATAGTTCTAAGACTTTACATGTAGTAACACACTCAATCCTTGGAAACCTATCAGGTAGATACCTTTATTGTTATTTCTATTTTACTGATAAGGAAACTCAGGCCAACACAAGTTAAGGAATTTGCCCCGATTCACAGAGCAGGAAGTCCAGACCCCCCATTCACAGTCGACCTGCTCTCACTCACCAGCCACACGACTTCTCAGCAGAGAAGGCACTTAGCCAAAGGCTCACTCCCTCATAAATACTTGTCTTGTTTTTCCTTTATTTAAATAGTTATTATTTATAAATATTTATATCCTTATTATCTAATAATAAAAATTATATATAATATATAATACATATCTAAATAGAAGCCATATTTTTTAAAATGCATAAAAGTATAAAGAATATCAAAAATTACCTGAAACCCACTGTCTTCAGATAACCACCATTTAACATTTTGATAATCATACCATATCTCTTTATGCATATAGCCACACATAAACTTAATATAAATGGAATTGTATACTATTTTTATAGTATCATTTTTTCACCTCATTCTTCATCTACCCCCTTCACCAACTGCCCAACTATCCCATCAAAAGAAAGCTGTATTAAGAACGTGATGTATATATGCTTATATCATTATCTATACCCAGGACTCTACTTACACAGTTCTCTGCCTCCTCCCTCTCCACATATGCCAATACTTCAAAGGAAATAGCACCCAGTGGACTGGTACAGACATAAACAGTACATGGAGCAGACGTGTTGTCCTCTGCTCAACCATCACCAACGCTGGGCGTTCACACCGTGGTCACTGACGACAGCATTCACTGAGCATCTGCCCTTTCACGGTGCTTCTATTACTACGGGACATTACCAGAGGAACGGTGAGGTTTGGGTAGGGAAATTCTTAGCTTTAATAAGAATTTATTAAAAGTCTCCACCAAACTTCCACAGAAGTAAGTGTTACTAGTGGCACATGGATGGGATGTTGTAGCACAATCCTTCATCTCTAACACAATGGAGCATCTCTTCATCTACCTGTCATTAAGTTTTGCTTTTTTGACAACTGCCTATTCTTAACCTTTGCCCTTGTTTTCCTATTGCACTATTTATATTATTCTTATTAAGGTAAGATGTATTTCCATAGTATAGATATTAACCCTTTACCTGCCATCTGATTTCCAAACATGTTTCCTAAACTGTCTCCTGAATTTACTTGTAGTATCTTTTTTAATACATAAGTTTCACAATTTTTTTATAGTCAATCATATCACTTTTATAATTTCTCTGTTTTTTGGTTTTAAGGTGGTCTTTTCAAGCTAAACATTCACGCAGCCCCATCTGCCATCATCCTACACAGAGCAGGAACCTTAGCCTGCCCAGCAGGCAGGGTGAGACATTCCTCTTTCATGGAAGGCTCTGTGGCGGCCCACACAGGTGGTAACTCAGGTACCGGAAGATGGGACTCACACTGGGCAGGTGCAGGAGCTGTCCTGGCTTAAAAGCCTCATGTCCCACAGGAGCCAACACCTCTTCTAACAACTCCAGAGGCACAGCGTCCAGGGTGGACGCTCAAAGGACACGCTCAATTACAGGGCTTCATTGCACTCAGGAAGGCCCCAAGCATGGTCTCGAGGGTTTATCAGCTCTCTAGGGCTTATTCCTTCTCCCAGTGCACATGCATTTTACCAGTGAGGGTCATTTTTATCATAAGCAATGTTGCCTAGAAACATAGTCACCTCTGTCAGGTAACTGGGGAAACAAAGCTAGAGAACTAACTGAAGGTAAAATTCTAATGCAGATGGGGAAAAATTTTTGTAAACCCTTTGCTCAAATACATGTATGCACGTACAACTGTATGTGTATATACACACATCCATATATCGATGTATATCTATACATACATTGCTGCTGTCTCTGATTGTCACTCCACTGTTAAAAACTGTTAATGACTTCCCATCACCCACTAAACAAAATTCGAACACCTAGCCTTTAATTCAAGGTCTGTAATAGTGAGACCTTAAGACAACCCTTCCACTCAACCTCCCACTGCTTCACCGCATACTCTGTGCTCCAGCAACCGTGACTGACGGGCCCATTTCTCAACCAGCGCACCTCTCCTTCGGTCCTCCCCACATGTCATCTCACACGAGAGGTGTTGATGCGCACGGCTCACCTCTCCTACTACCCGGGCTCCACGTTTCTGTAAGGACCGAGCTCAGGAGATGGCATCAATTTTGTTAGGGGGCAAAGAAGTAGAAAATTATGATAAAGTTGCAATTGCTCAGGAGGTATACTCTTCTTTATTTAGTTTACATGTTTACTTCGGGTGGCTTTTGGAAGATTCGCTAATGCAGCTTATGGATAGGTGTCTAACAGCTCTTGTCTTAGCCTGAAATCGCCAGAAAACAGTCTAAGACAAAGGTTTACGTTACAGAGCGAGTGCAATCACGGGAAGCAGGAGTGCGAGAAAAAAGGAAGTAAATCACACAAGGAAGGAGCACCCATACGGAGGGTGTGATCAAGCTGGCTGCAGCTTTCCTCAGCGTCTCAGGGCACGTCCACAGTCTGAAGTCACTGCGACTTGAAGAGATGGTGGGGGTCATCGGAGCAGGGAGGGAAGCACAGACGGCCTGCTGGCACCTTCCTGTCTCCCACCGCTCGCTGGTCAAAGGCCCTTCCAAGAGCTGATGACTCCACACACTCCAGGTCTGTGTTACCTGCCCTCCAGGCAAGTGCTAAGGAAGCCACGCAGAGCAAGCACTCAGCTGTGGTGACGCTGGCCAGCTGGCACCCACCTGGAGCTCCTCACTCTGTGGCAGCAGTGGCACCAGGAGCAGACACCGCAGGAATGGCACGGGCCTTTGCTGGGCTTTCTCCGTTCTGGAAACAATTCAAGCAACTCAAGCCTTGAGGTGAGGGTGGAAGGGAAAGTGAAGCCAAAGACATCTGTGCTGGGGCATAAACCCAGCCCAGATGCCCCGCAGTCGCACTTGTCTCCGCCACTGCCTACCAGACACTAAGACTCAAGGGAAAGAACCATGTCTTCATTATCTGTCATTCCAGCTCTCCTTTTTCTGGTTTAAGTATTTTACATTCTATTTCTATTCTTTTATGGTAACCTTAAAGATTTTAACATGCATATGAAAAAGAAAAATCTAAATTAAGTCAATCTTCACTGTTTTTCCTAAAACATACAAGAACCTTCTAACACTCCCTCCCAAATTAGATGCTACTGTTATTGCACATCTGGGTCATATTTGGACTCACATTTTTAACTGCACAAACATGATCATCACTGGTTTCTACGGTCAATGTGTGTTAGATTTTCCCACATATTTCCTGCCTTCTTTGCTCTTCATTTCTTTTTGCATCTTCTCTCTTCCGTTGGGATGGCTTTCCTTTTTCTGAAGCACATCCTTCAGAATTGTTGGTGACCAACTTATACCCTCTCTCTGTCTGAAAAAAAGGTCCACTTCACTTTTACTCTTCAGGGACATTTTGGTGAATGTATTTCTGGACTGAGTCATCTTTTCTCAGCACACTGAAAACATCATTCCTCTGAATGCCGGTTTCCACTGAATTCTCAAGTCAACTCTCAGTCTAACTGTTGTCCCTGAAGGTGAACTGTCCTCTCTGGCTGCTGTGACGATCTTCTCCTTATCTTCGTGCTCTGCAACTTCACTGTAACGTCTGCACTGGCTTGTCTGTGTCACGAATTTCAGAGAGCACGCCCACTCCTCCCCAGCACAAAGCTGCAGACGGACAGCGCTCCTCTCAGCCCAAGGGGAGGACAGTCTCTTCCTGGGGAAGCCTAG